CCCCCCTACATCTCCAGCTTTCTCGGCCTCCCACTTCCAGCCCCGCCCACTTCCCCCCCTCCCCCCAGCCTCACGTGCCCTCTCCGAGCGCTCACGCAGCGCACCCCTCCTTGTACCCTCCCCCTCTCTCTCCCCTTGCCCCCTTCTTATCTAGAAACTTCTTGCCACGGCAGCTCTCTCCCACTTCAGCAAAAAAAACATTCTTGCTGTGGTTTTCACACCTGATGATGGTTGCTTGTGTTGCAATCGAAACGTCGTGATTTGTTTCATTTTAATGTATTTCTAGCTACGTGACTTTACCGAAAGAACCAGAGTATTGAGACCCCAGTTTAAGCAATGATGGCTGAAACTCGGATCTAAACCCACGCTCTCTGCCACACTCAATCATTACATATTCCCATCACTACCAATCTATGACTATTAAAAGTAATTGATGAGGAACCCTCCTCCTCTGCAGTCCTGGTATACACCTAGGCCTCAGGCTTCATATTCGTTCCTCCAAAGATTGATACATTTGAGAGAGAGACATAACATAGACACACAGGCAGACACAAGCAGAGAGAGAGAGACATAACATAGACACAGGCAGACACAAGCAGAGAGAGAGACATAACATAGATACACAGGCAGACACAAGCAGAGAGAGAGAGACATAACATAGACACACAGGCAGACACAAGCAGAGAGAGACATAACATAGACACACAGGCAGACACAAGCAGAGAGAGAGAGACATAACATAGACACACAGGCAGACACAAGCAGAGAGAGAGACATAACATAGACACACAGGCAGACACAAGCAGAGAGAGAGACATAACATAGACACACAGGCAGACACAAGCAGAGAGAGAGACATAACATAGACACACAGGCAGACACAAGCAGAGAGAGAGATATAACATAGACACACAGGCAGACACAAGCAGAGAGAGAGACGTAACATAGACACACAGGCAGACACAAGCAGAGAGAGAGACGTAACATAGACACACAGGCAGACACAAGCAGAGAGAGAGACATAACATAGACACACAGGCAGACACAAGCAGAGAGAGAGACATAACATAGACACACAGGCAGACACAAGCACAGAGAGAGAGACATAACATAGACACACAGGCAGACACAAGCAGAGAGAGAGACATAACATAGACACAGGCAGACACAAGCAGAGAGACATAACATAGACACACAGGCAGACACAAGCAGAGAGACATAACATAGACACACAGGCAGACACAAGCAGAGAGAGAGAGACATAACAGACACACAGGCAGACACAAGCAGAGAGAGAGACATAACATAGACACACAGGCAGACACAAGCAGAGAGAGAGACATAACATAGACACACAGGCAAACACAAGCAGAGAGAGAGACATAACATAGACACACAGGCAGACACAAGCAAAGAGAGAGACATAACATAGACACACAGGCAGACACAAGCAGAGAGAGAGACATAACATAGACACACAGGCAGACACAAGCAGAGAGAGAAACGTAACATAGACACACAGGCAGACACAAGCAGAGAGAGAGACATAACATAGACACACAGGCAGACACAAGCAAAGAGAGAGAGACATAACATAGACACACAGGCAGACACAAGCAGAGAGAGAGACATAACATATACACACAGGCAGACACAAGCAGAGAGAGAGATGTAACATAGACACACAGGCAGACACAAGCAAAGAGAGAGAGAGACATAACATAGACACAGGCAGACACAAGCAGAGAGAGAGAGACATAACATAGACACACAGGCAGACAAGCAGAGAGAGAGAGAGACATAACATAGACACACAGGCAGACACAAGCAGAGAGAGAGACATAACATAGACACACAGGCAGACACAAGCAGAGAGATGTTTTGTCTCTCAAATTTAGCAATCTTTGGAGGGACGTAATCAACCAGGTGAGGTGTTGACTGTTGTGTTGGCCGACTCTCTGTGTTGTATTGCATTATATTTCCAAATTTACTATGTTTGTTTTCTCATTGATGTGTACCTGATGATGTTTGTTTTGCAATCGAATCGTCGTATTCTATTATTATTTAATTTCTTTCTACGTGACTTTACCAAAAGAAGCAAAGAATAATTCCTGCAGTCACGAAAGTTTTGAATCTAGTTTGGAATTATTAACTTGTGTTCCATGTGTAATGTGAGGATATATCCGGGTCGCTGACGGATCACAACTCGTCACGATGATTGGCTCTGCCGGTCCTGGTCCATAGCCAATGGGGGGAAGCCTAGGGGCGTGGCCCTGACGTAATGGGAAGGTGACATCTGTAAGTAGAGGATTGGTTCTGCTGGCTTTAGCCACAGCCAATGGGGAGACGAGTCAGGGGCGTGGTCCCGGGAGCCTACGATGGAGTCTGGAAGATTACATAGAGGCTAACCAGGATTGGTGGAAAGGTACCACGTGACCCGGGTATTAAATAGGAGTGGAGACGAACAACACGTGGTCAGAACTGGAACGAACGGAGGGAGAGGCCACGCGAGAGTGGGGGTCCAGGCTGCCACGTGGCTGCGTGCGTTTCTCTCTCTCTCTCTATCCCTCTCACGCTGTCTATCAGCAGCGTGAAGGAGTGTTGTAAAGAAAGACAAATAAAGACCGGATTCCAGAAGTCGCTTTCACGACCTTTATTACACATGCATTAAATTTGAAGCGTATGAACAACATCTCATTGGTGTATTTACTTTAAAATTCAAGGTGTTATTATTAACCTAAGTAGTTATGTTTAGGTGACTGAGGTGGTAGTAGTCAAGTGTAATTTGAGTTACATGTCAATTATTGTGCAATGGATTTGTCTGTGTGCACCTAGCCTGGCACGTTTAATATGGGTTTATTTTCTTGTTGATCAGTCTTTAAAGATGTATATTTTTGCGTCTTGTTATGTGTGTCTGTGTCAGCTTACGTTTCTATGTGTGTAGCTGTGTGTGTCTGTTAGTTTATAATGGGTGATGTGATGGGTGGTGATGACGATGATAATTAATGGGTGGTGATGTGATGGATGGTGGTGATGATGGGTGGTGGTGATGTGGGGTAGTGATGATGCGTGATTGGTGGTGGTGATGATGGGTGGTGATGATGGGTGGTTATTATAGGTGGGTGGTGGTGGTGGTAATGATAGGTGATGATTGGTGATGAGGGTGATGATGGTTGATAATTATGTTAATGGATGGTGATACTGATGTATGGTGATAATGATGGGTGTTGGTGATGGGTGGTTGGTGGCGATGATGATGGGTGGTGTTGATGAGTGGTGATAATGATGGGTGGTGATGATGATGGGTGGTGGTGATGGGTGGTAGTGATGGTTGGTGATGACGATTGATGGTGATGATGATGGTTGGTGATGATGGGTGTTGATGGTGATGGGTGGTGATGCTAATGGGTGGTGGTGATGATGGGTGGTGATGGGTGGTGATGATGGGTCTGTTTTTAGGAATCCTTCATGACCCACAAAGTGTGTGGGTTTGTGGAAGAGCCATCACCCACAATTCCTATTGATAGCCATTCAATCTTTAAAATGCTAAGCGGGGGCCTTCGGTTATGGGAATGTCGAACGAGCCAACCCGTTTTTTTATTCTCAGAGCTGGAATTTAGGCAAATAATAATGATAATAATTACATGTTTACTCTCAAAAAGAGTTTGAATCAGAGGTATGATGAACCACCGACAAGCAGCATTCAGAATCATCATGTTTATTTATCCTGGAGGAGTCCGATGAGCTATCCAGCTATTGTTTACAGACGTCGAGTCGGGGAGGGTCAGAAGAACACGAGACAATACAACAAGTGATAGGAGTGCGAGCTAGAGAAAAAAGGTAATCCAGTCACTAAACTATATAGCATTTAAATAACTAAAATATATAAGTACAAATGGCACAAGTACATAAATTACTGCCGATATTTAAACACTAAATGCAAGCTTGGACAAAAGCAGTCCCAGACCACACCAAGACAACACAGTCCCTCGATGAAATTTCATGTAAAAATTTAACCTTTGACACATGGGTAAGAATCAGTTAGAAGTTACATTGGCAAATGTGGTTTTATCCAGCACTAAGCTTCTGCTTCATATTATTTTTAAGGAAGATTTACGGATGTTAAGGGAGGATCCAAGGTTATTCCAAAACATTGATGGTGCTGCACTGACAAAGACTTTTGTTACCCATTCTAATTCTTGTTCTTGGAATAGTTAAAGCTCAATTCAATGGGCGTCTTAGGTTGCGTGGGTTTGACCATGGGGTAGATGGATTAGGTCAGTATAATGCGTAATTTTCCAATCTTTATAAGTAGAGGTCACAATGGTGGGTCCTGTATGGTAAATCCAGTACAGATCAAAGAGCAGAATGATAAAGCGGGTTTATTATGTTTAGTGTTTCATTAGTAGTTGATTTGTAAGCAGCATCACGGGAGTCAAAATGTGGTAGAATGATAGTTTCAGCAATTTGCAGGCCTAATCGAAGGAGAAAACAATGTTTCTGTATTAAATCCCTAATTTGCATTTCATTGCATTTGACGTGTGATCAATATGGGGTTGTAATGTCAGTTTTTAATGAATAAAACCAAGTATTTGGAGCACTGTTCAATGATGTTTTTTTTCTGATATCCATAATAGGTTAAGGGAATTAAACGAGACTCTTGTTTGATGAAAATAACATGATGATAGTGATTTTGGGATTTCGGATACATTTTAGTAATGACAATTGATTATTGAATCAATTCAAAATCGTGTTGGAGATTGTTTGACTTTGGAGATTTATCCGATACGAACATGACAATGTTACCAGCAAAGATATTTAATTCTGACTAATTTTAAGTTTAGTCCAAATCATTCAAATATAAGAAAAGAATTGGACCCAGCACGCAACCTTGTGGAATGCAATTTGTTTTGTTAATTTTTGTGGACGAGATATTATTACTATTGTAGGGGACTGTATGTCAGAGGTATGGTTGGGGCACGCGTTGCGATACAGTGGCTGCGTAAGGATGGGAAACTGTAAGGGGAAATATAGGGGAACGCACACGTTGAGTTAATTAAGAACAGGTGGTCTGTCCACGTGGGAGGGACACGGTCTGATTAGGGGCGGGGCCTAAGGAGGGTTTATAAAGAGGGAGCCTGAACTCAGTTGTGGGTGCAAGGCTGGGACAAGACTGAAGAAAGACGACCAAGGCGGAGTGCAGCTGGGCTGGGTTCAACGGAACTGTTTGTACTTACTACATGGAAATAAAGACTTACCCTTGTTAAAATGGACGTCTCAGGAACTCCTTTACACTATGTACTTATTTAAGAACGGTCTGAGAGGTAACTTATATCATTTTATTGTTGAATCTGAAAACCGTAATTGACCAAGAATTGTGAGTGGAATATAATTTTCAACTGGCTTTTGAAAAGGTAATGAATATTGCACAGCAGTAGTGACCTTTTATCCAGTTTACTGATGAGAACATTTTAAACATCCATAGCTGTGGTGGTGCTGTAATCCTCTTGAAAACTAGACTTTGCTGTGCATGACATTGTGAGCTTTTCGGCAGCAGTTTATTTTGGATGAATGTTTTTCGAATATTTTAGTAACTTGATTTGAAGCTTGCGTGACTGCAGGAATCCATACTCTTTGGTTCTTTCGGTAAAGTCACGTAGATAGAAAAAAGAAAAATATATATATCACGACGTGTCGATCGCAACACAAGCAGTCGTCCTCAGAACAACACAAGCGGTCGTGTGCCTCGGAACTGCTGAACCTGGTTCAGCCAAGTTCAGCAGTTCCACTGCTGGATAATTTTTTTCCGCCTGAGGACGACCGCTTGTGTTACGATCGAAACGTCGTGACATATATTTTTATTTTTTTTCTACCTACGTGACTTTACCGAAAGAACCAGTGTATTTTAGTAACTGTTGAAAAAAATATGGGTCTATAATTACTAGGATCCTCTTTTAAGCCATTTTTATACAGTGGTCAAATTAAAGTAGATTTCTACGATAGTGGAAATGTAATGGGAAAGGTGAGGCAGTAATGCGACCAGGATTGGTTTCAACACGCAAACTAATCAACAATATAAACATGTATTGTTTTTTAATGTATTTTATACTATAGTGCTGTGCTAAATGGCGTTACTAGCATGTAGATATTTTTGCATGTCTGTGATTAATGTTTAAGCTACGAGTAACAGGTGGATACCTATGAAACAAATATCATGAATTGTGGAAGACTGCAGGAACAGAATTAACATAAGATTGGAGATGCCATTGTTTGAGAAAGTATGGGGGTTTGTGTCTGATGGATGAGGTAACAGTGTCGGTGAGTTTGCTGGGTTGGGTGACAATGGGGTAAAGAGACAGCAGGGTTACTGGGTGGGAGACCAGAAGCAGTCCGCTCTACCGGTCCTAAACAGTCGCAGCACAAACAGCAGCCAGGGGAGGACCACTCTCGAGTGGGAGCTGATCCCAGGGCCTTGACCGCGATCCCACAGCTGAGCTCTGGCGGGTTGAAGATGCGCATGAGGTCCCCGAGCTGGTGGAGCGGCACGCCGCCCATGCAGCTGCTGCTGGAGAAGGGGACGCGCACCTTGGCCGCCAGCTGCTCGGCCTCACCGCGCGTGCGGCCCAACAGCGCCTCCACGCTGAAGCCATTGGTGAGCAGCAGCGGCACGAGCACCCCCCAGGCGTGAGCCCCATGTTGAACACCCCCACGCTGGCCTGCGTGGCTCCCTCGCTCGCTCTGTCCCAGCTCCTCTTCCTGGTCTCGAGCTTGAGTCTCTTCTAGGGGGTGGGCAGCGATACGGAGGAAGAGTGGCAGACAGCCGAAGAGGGGGAGACAGCTGAAGAGTGACAAATGATGGAGAAGTGGGAGGATGGGGACATGGAGAAGGAGGAATGGGAGGGGATGGAGGATACTTGAGGTGGTGGTGGAGGAGACGGTGGATAATCAGAGATGGAGGAGCTGGAGGTGGTAGAGGAGCTTGAGATGGTATAGGAGGAGCTGGAGGTGGTGAAGGAGACAGATGGCGATGGTGGAGCAGGAGACGGAGGAGCTGGAGGTGGGGGAACTCACGAATCACTCACCCCTCACTCGCCCATTATCCAACCATCAACTGCCCTCACTCACCAACCAATCAATCAACCATCACCCATTCCTCACTCACCCATCACTCACCACTCACTTAATCATCATTTATCAATCTCTCGCCACTCGCCCACCACTCAACCATCAGCCACCCCTCAACTATCATCCAACGGTCACTCACCCCTCACCAATCACGAAAACATAACTCACCCCTTACCCCTCATTCACGACTCGTGTAACCATCACGCACTCGCCAATCACTCAAGCATCACCCATCCCTCACTCACCCCTCACTCACCCCTCACTCACCACTCACCCATCACTCACCCATCACTCACCTGCCCCCTTTGTCTCTGTGTATGGAGCAGCCCCACCCAAAGCAGCTGATGGGAGAGCTGAGCAGGGAGGTGACCCGGACTGCGACCATCAACCGTCCAGTGCGCACATGCCCCTCGTCAGCAATTCGCCCGAAGGTGATCTCGCCAATAACATTTACAATTTTTATTATTATCAACACGAATAATTTAGCACATTTGGCATTCACGCCCTTCTTGTTCCATTCCAGGGATCTTCATCTTTGTCCCAATTGAGTGATTTCTGGTGTAACCTTTTATATTTGGGCCAAACCTGGACCGTGACGAGTGACGTCGTGGGATCTTTAACGTTCACTGCCAAGTGAGCGACGCAGGCTATTTTGCGAGCGTGTGCGGAGTATTATCGGCCAAACGTCAAGTTGCTACAAAGGTCACCTGGCAAGTGAAAAAAAATATTCTCTTTTCTAAAGTCGACAGACCTTCACTTCATTGGACACCTTTTAAATTATCCGTCATCTTCTGCTTCCCGAAATTTAGATTTTCGTAACCTCTGAGCGTGAACGACTTCTGCCCCTCTTCATCTAGGGCAGGGATCGGTAACCTGCATCTCCGGAGCCGCGTGTGGCTCTTTAAGGACTGCTTCGTAACGTTATTTATTCAGGACCACCATCTCGTATTCACCACACAGTGCATTACAGCTCTTGAAAGATTGAGTTTCTTTAACCGAATACATTTTTTTATCTTGTTATTTTCGTTACCGTCCTCTGGTCTAGGGCAATATCTTGGTCAATGACCCCATGGCTGGGACCGTGCGGGTAACAGACTTTGGTTGCAGCTTCCATGAGACTTCTCAAAGTAAGTGACCTCAACGGCATGCATGAGTATATGTGTGCACTATGAACCTGGCGACCCGAATTCAATTCCCGCTCATGAGCAACACCATTCGCAGCCGTTCCCTGTTCATCTTGGGGTGTGACAGCATCTGGCTCCTGCATTGTTTACATCATGTTCGACCATGTAATTCGAGAAGCCTTCTATGGCTGTACCTGTGGAATTTTAATCTGCTACAGATACAATGGGAGGCTGATCCTCCTGGTCAACCATGTTATGCACAGTGATGATCTGGTGGTTGCTGCCCACTGATGAGTTGAAGGTTCTGCTGCTAAACCTGCAGCGTGCCACTAAGAGATAGGCCTTACTATCAGCCTCACCAAATTAAGCACCTGCTCATGTATTTTGTATAATCCAATACTCCACTGAGTCAACTCCCCACCGTAATGGTGCAGTTGTGGAGAGAGTAGAGAAGTGTCCATACCTGGGCTGTATGCTCATGACCAACTCCAGATTGGCAGCAGAATTCTCACTCCGAATCAGTCGAGCGGCATTATATTTTGATCAGCTGCTTAATGCTGTGTGGAAGCTACCTGGTCTGTCACTCGACACAAAGATCACGGTATTTTCGGAAACAGTCTTGCCCTTCCTTCTCTTTGCTTGCGGAATGTGGACCCCTCTCATAGAATATCTGCACCGGTTAAAATTTTCAGGTTGGCCTGCCTATGATCCATTTTGTCAATCTAGATTTGACGTTTTCATGACTGCAGGGATCCATACTCTTTGGTTCTTTCGGTAAAGTCGCGTAGGTATAAAATAAAATTAATTAAATCACGACGTTTCGGTTGTAACACAAGCGTCCGTCATCAGTTGGGACAACCACAGCAAGAAACAATTGCTGAAGTGGGCCCCTTCAACCCGATAGCCTAAGGGAGGTACACGCTCCCTTCTAGCACGTCCTACACACTCCAGGCTACTCTACACACCGGTCCCTTGCCACGGCGGCTAAGGGAAGACTGGACCGACCCGTCCCAGGCAGGGTACGGGGCTCACCCCTGGTCCGCTACACCGCGGCTCTGACCAGAGCCTCGGGGAGGGTCCCAGGGTGTCCGAGCTACCTCGGGTCCGCCACAGCCCGGCTCTAACGAGAGCCTCGGTTGAGGGTTCCCGGGTGCTGGTCCAGTTTTCAGGTCTTCAGATGTATTCAAGCTTGAGTTGGCGAACACTGCTGGACCCGTTCAGAGGATCGGCTTTTTATCCCCAGGTTGGGCTTACCCCTCCCCTCATGACCCCCCCTCCAGAACCTTCTGGAAGGTCTTAAAGGGTCTTAAATCTTAAGGGGTCTTAGGAAGGGGTGAGGGGAGCCCATCCCCCTCAGCCCCTAGCCCCTGGGGGGTCTGGGGTGTCAACCTCCGGTCACGGGCCTCCCACCTCGCTCTGTCTCGGCTGCCCCCTGTCGGCCCGTGAGCGTGCAGGCAGGTAAGCTCCTTACAGCGCCTTGTTATGGCGCAACACCTACGTGACTTTACCGAAAGAACCAAATATCCATTTTGTGTTTAACCAGGCTGAATTGTGTGAGGAGAACATAAATCCTTCAAAGATCTGAACACATTCCCATCAATCTTAATTTGGAGCTTTCGTGACTGCAAGAATTACTCTTTGGTTCTTTCGGTAAAGACACGTATATAGATAAAATAATACATTAAATAATAGCATACGACGTTTCGATTGCAACACAAGCAATCATCATCAGGTATAAATGAAATAGCAACAAAAATCTAACCAGAAAACTATAGACAGACATATAAGCAGACAGATAACACCAAGATACATAGAGAGAGAGTAACATAGGCACAGAGAGGGAGATCGTCTCTGTGGCGAGGCCTTTAATAGACAGGGGGGCGGGGGCGGAGAGAGGGAGGGGTTCGAGAAAAAACTAACATGTCAATGAGTGCGGCGACGCGTGGTAAAGTACGCAAGCTTGAACATTAGGAGAGAGGGAGAAAGAACACACTAAATTAAATAACCTAGCAAAATATCGAAATGTTATGTAATACAACACAGAGAGTCGGTCAACACACAATTAACGCATAGCCTGGTCGATCACGTATTTCAAAGATTGCTAAGTTAGAATTTAAGTGTGTAAATTCCGTACTCATTGACATGTACATTTTTTCTCTAACCCCTCCCTTTCTCCGCCCCCGCCCCCCTCTGTCTATTTAAGGCCTCGCCACAGAGACGATCTCCCTCTCTGTGCCTGTGTTACTCTCTCTCTATGTATCTTGGTGATATCTGTCTGCTTATATGTCTGTGTATAGTTTTCTGGTTAGATTTTTGTTGCTATTTCATTTATACCTGATGATGATTGCTTGTGTTGCAGTCGAAACGTCGTATGCTATTATTTAATTTATTATTTTATCTTTATACGTGACTTTACCGAAAGAACCAAAGAGTACATTTCCATCAGTGAACTCCTCCGATGGGCAATGCTGCATTGGTTGTGTCATGTCACCCCGCATGCCCAGCCACCACATGCCCAGCCAGTTTCTGTTTCGCTGGATAGAGGGGACTAAACAGACGCGGTACGGCCTTGAGAAGAGATGGACTGTTGCAATATGGGAAGGATGCGGAGCTAAGTGGACTTGCTCAAGACTCGCAAATGTCATGAAGAACGCTATTGGGCAGTTGGAGGCAGTTACCCTCCAAAAACAGAGGGCAGAAGAGCGACGCTCATGACAATGAGCAGAGTGTCGAATCGATAAAATGCAGCAAGTTGGAAGAGTGGGGGACACAGGTGCCCCCTCAGTAGTCAGCCAACCCAACACCACGGTGGCGAGATTTTAACTACCTCCCCTGGTATACAGGGGGCTGTGGGTACGATCCTGATCCTGACGCCTGTATATTTGGAGTTTGCATGCCTTTCTCCCCGTGGTCACATGGATTTTTCTCTGGGTCCTCAAGTCTTTCCCTCTAAATTTAGAAACATGCTTTTAGAGTATTTGGCTGCGATACATTTGCACGTGATAAGCAGCTTCACTGAGCTATCATTTGTAGCCAGATCGCTTCTGAAAAATAGCTAAATAGCTCAGTGGGCCTTACCTGGTTAAATAAAAAACATGTATTCTGTCCTGTGACCTGTCAGCGAGCCTTTGGCACTTTATGTGGCCTCGGAGTGCACCTAGCCTGGCACAAACACCCTGGTGATGTCACCGCCGGTGACGAATGGGGCTGTTGTTGCTGTGTGTGCCTATGCAAGCATGTGTGTGGGGAGTGGTAGTGTAGCAGTTATTGCGCTGTGCTATGAAACCATCAGTTCGATTCCCGCTCACGTTCAACACCAGTGACGATTATCGGAACCGGTGATGGGCCTCCGCGAGCTCCACTCAGCCTTAAATGAATACCTGATGTGATGCATTAACATTGCCATGAGGGAGACAAAGGTGGCCGGGTACCGTGTTGACCACCCACCACTTTATGCGCCTTTCTGGCCTTTATAGGTACTTGCAAACAGCATTTACCCCAACAGTCTGTTAAAGGCTATATGGGGATATTTTTCTTTTGTATACTTGTCACTGTGTGTGTCTGATGACGCTGTGGGTGGTGATACTGTGTGATGTTATTAAAGGCAATACGTGAACATGTGGGCACTCGGCTGTGTGGTGGTAGAGATAGCCTTGGGAAAGCTCCTCTTCAACGACCTGTTCCCGTGCT